GAAATGTTGGGGAAAGCATCAGAGTAACCAGTTATAATTTAATTTATGGAGATGTGGAGTCATACCCTCTCAGGCAGAAGTGTGGGAAACTTCCAGAACATGACCTGGTGGATAGTTTCTTGTACAAGACAGAGATGACTCCAAAGAAAAAGGTTATGACATATTTTAAGATTCTGGAAAGATATATTATGGATAGCCATATTAGAAGAATTAATGTTTTAGGGAAGGGAGAAGCTGAGTAAAAAAGGATGAGTCATTAGTACAGACAAAATATTGGTACACACACACCCAGATACACTGGCAGGAATTCCAGAAATGATTTTTAGAATATTAGCTCACTGTGCAGAACCTAGAATCCTATTTTTGCAGAAACCAAGAACAAGGTCTGGAATTGAGCTTGGGAGATACAAGTGACCTAGTCACCAAAAAAGGATAGCAGGACAGAACAAATAAGACTAAATGCGTCTGGCAGCATGACAAGAATAATAATGGCAATTTTCCCCTGCAGTTAAAAGGCCATTCATTTTTCAAATACATTCGCAAACATGTTTGGTACACAGCTGAATCCTATTATTTCAATGAAGTAGAAATGATCATCTCTTGTTGTTCACCATTGAAACAACAATAAAGCAACATACAAAAATAACATATTCCAGACTGTGTTCCTTAGAATTAAATTTATTTGTTCCATGGAACATGAGATTTAAAAAAAATAGTTCCATGGTCCAATCAGTATTTAAAATACTGACTCAAAGCTACTCAGATTTCCTAACCTCAGGACTTCTCAGAGCCTGTGATGAGCTACTACAGATTATGAATCTCAGAGATGGGAATGTAAATATTGCAGTTCCCAATTTCTTTGACCACACAGCCCTGTTACTCACAAAGTCTCTTTTGCCACACCCTCTAGTACACATTTTGGAAACACTTGTTGAAATGGTCCTGCTGGTTCAAGTGAACTGAATCCCACAGACTCAACAATATATGATGATGAGGAAGCTCATATGTGGCTTGCCTTGAAAGTCCCCTTTACACAGAAGGTAAGTGACTTGTCACTCACACAGTGGCAAAGGCAGGATTGGAATCCAGGTTTCCGAAATCCAGGTCCATCGCGCTTCCCGCCACACCATTTGCTTTGTTCTCAAAAGTCGTAGATGGTATTCTTTTCACTTAGATTTCTTCTTAACGGTTATTCATCTCCAAAAAGTAAAATTATGTGTGGAAACTCTCAACTCCTTCTGGTTAGTATGAGCAACTTTGTTTCCTGAATGAAAACAGGGAACTCATGTCTAACGAGAAGGTCAGGAACTATATTTAAAGTCAATGGAGTCTTAATATGGTTGCAATTATAGTTCATCAAATTCACAGCCATCTCTGACAGCTATGGGTGCTCTCCGGGCACTTCATGGAAGAGGTAAAGAAATGAAAAATGAATTGTTCTCTGTGTGTATTATTCATATGTTTATTTTCCAATTTTCTGCAGAAGAGCACCTTAAGCTACATTTTCAGTGAGGTAGTACTAAGTTCTAAAATTCTACAGTCTTTTTCTTTTGTTAAGACTTTAAAAAGAAACAGGCAAAATTGCCATTTTTTTCTTAATAATATCTTCAAAAGTGAAATGGAAAAAGCACTGTGCTCTTATAAATGGTATAGATTTCCTACAGGAGGGATATGTCTACATATGCCACATCAGCTCCTGTATTGATCAAATAACATAATGAACATTTCTTCCATTTCTTTTAGAAATTGCTTTATTTATATTAGCGTAAACTCTGAAATCTGGTCACAGTGTGCTACTTATAACCCCAGTATATTATTATCAAGATTCATAAATTACACAGCATTTAGATGGAAAATGCATATCTCAGAATTACTCCAGCCTTTTCTATGCCCCCAAGAGATTAATACTAAATGTATCAGATCTAAAGGAGAAAGGAGGATGAATCAGCTACAGGAACGCATCAAGGGCTTGGAGGCTTAATGTAGATAATTCTTCCATTCTAATGCTTTGAACTTTGGTTAATGATTATTACAGATGAAAGAGAATGTGGCTTACCATGTTCCCCAAAGATTTACATATTAAATTCCAAAGCCAGCAGGTAGAAGTCTGAAATGAGGCAAGTTTGTCCTAAATTCTCTCTTCTTTTCACGTTCAAGGGAGAACTTTTCAATCCACTTTTGTTTTATATCTGTCTGTCCTCCTAAAGATTCCATATCCTGGCTTTTTCTGCCCCTATCACCAGCCACCCTATTTTCTCCAAACCAAAATTCCTTTTCCTGGGTTCAGATTTCTCAAGTACAGATTTCTTTGAAGGACTAAATAAAAGCAAGACACACAGACATCTCTATATATTCCATTTATTCTATTGATAACACTTACTGCTTTACAGCTAATACTTTTAAAAGTGCCCACTGTGTGTTGAGTAATTGTAACTACTAGTGAACCATGTCCCCTCTTACTACCACCCCCCAAAAATCCCTGTCTTTGTAGACCTTATTTTATGTAGGGAGGGAATGGAAGACAATAGGAAACAACCAAGAAGTCTGTATATAGTGGTAAGTGCTAAGGAAAGTAAAAAAAAAAAAAAAGGGGGGGGGGATAGGAAAGATGGTAAGTGTATTCTACTTTAAATAAGGGAGTCAAGAAATGGCTGAATATGAGTAATGCCTTGAACAAAGTAAAGGAGCGAGTTATGTGGGTATCTGGGGAAGAACATTCCAGAAAAAAAGAACTACAAAGGTAAGACTGTGCTTCGCAGTTGCCAAAGAAAGTGAGGGCACCTGAGGCAGAGTAAATAAAGTGGGATTGAGGATACTGAGGAACAGGACATCAAATCATGTGATCATGCAGATCATCACAAGGCCCTGGCTGAGGATTTTGAGGCGAAGATTGTCATGATGTCATGTGTTTTGAACACTCTACAGGGCCCAGAATTAGGCAGCCCAGTGGCTTGGGCCCCAGTGGTAGCAGTAGAGGTTGTGAGCCATGTTCAAAGTTTCCACACGTTTTGAAAATACAGCCAATACCATTTGCTGATGGACTAGATGTGAGGAGTTCCTAAAACATATTCTTCACTTGTCCTCTTTCTTCTCTTTGGTGTGTATACGTCTGTCATCAAAATATAGCCTATTTTTTTTTTCTTTTTCATTCATGAAGGTAAGTGTAGGAAACTGTGAAAAACTGGGTATTTCCAGATATATTTGGAACTCAATCAAAACAAGGAAGAACTCAAGGTCATTAATGGTCACACACAATGATCACATAGTACAAGGATCTCACAGTGAACTCTAAAGTTACAGACCAGCTGAGGTTCCCAAGAGAAGAACTAATGTGTAATCACAATTTCTGGCCACGTAAACTCTGTATTTGTCCAGTTGATAAGCCAAACACCCTCTTGGGCATTTTGAGCCCCCTTTTAAGATAAGGCCTGTGAGGCAAAAGTGAAGCAAGTTATCCCTAGCATTGTTCACTATCTTGTTATTAGGTACGATACTGGCAATCTGTGTGATAGATGCAGCATAATACACTTTGTCCAAAATAACCAGATACTGGTAGTTAAGAGTGACCTTGACTCAAGATTATTTGCAGGGTTCAGAACTAAGCTATCACAGGCTTCATGGATTACTGCTCCTAAGAAACAAATCTGCAATTCAACAACTCCTTTCTGAGAACAACAACAACAACAAAAATATTTAAATAGTAGAAATATCTGGCACATAAAGGATAAATGGTAGAGAAAAATCTGGACTCATAAAGAGAGATGATTGGGTTCTACTTTGGAGAAAAGGGAGTCAGGGAGGACTTGGAAGGTGGAACTGCATCATGGTGCGGTGAGAGTATGAAATGCGTGGAAGATGGTCCCCTTGACTCCCTTCTCTGCTTGTGTCAAAGGTTTGTTTTGTGCTCTTTCTTCCTTTACATGTACAGATGTGCCTATAAAGCATAGTGTACTCTTCATTTCTCTCAATTAAGAAGGAATACAGCTTCCCCTACTGTTTTTATCATTGTGTAAACCAAGGTGTCAACATAGGCCCTTTATGAGATGTTGTAAAGTTACTACTCTTGGAGAATTTGCGTAAAAGGAAAGACTATTCACTTCTACCAACCAGCCAAGTTTCTATGCTAATGGAGCTACTGGCTTCACATAAAATTTTAAATGGCAAAGAAGCCCAGCCCCAGAGAATTCTCACAAAGGAGAATTAAAGAATCTTCAAGATGGAAAACTAAAATTAAAATGTTCTGTCATAAAAAATAAGTATAGTTCCTTCATAGAAGGAGTAGTTATTTTCTCCATATGAAAATAACCAGAGCCTTCGGGGAGTATTAACCACGTGCGTTTGCACATTTTCATGAAAAGAGAAAATACATAGGCTGTGCATTAATAAGGACCATAAAAAATATATTGCAATGTAAAGGGAAAGACTTGGCTAATTTATGAACCCAAGTAGTAAGTTTTGTGTATACCTTAATGTATTTTAACACGTAATTACCAGTTTTAATGAGGAAGTCTTGCTACTACTAAGAAAACTGCAAGTCTGATTTAAATTTAGTCATCAAACTTAAATAAATCAACTAACGGGTGGAACTTTCTCTTCTTCCACCAATCACTGTTTTCTGCTCTTTCCCTTACTTCCTCTCCCCACATTCCCCAAGCATTAAGACATTATCTGTTCTGCATCAGGCACTATGCAAGACACACTGAGATCCTGTCATTACCCTTAAGGGGCTTCAGTGTGGGGATTATAACAATCTGGTAAACTCTATATTAGAGCTTAAAAAACAGTAACAACAAGTAGTAAGAAACCAGCAAAGTGACTTTACACTAGTCAATTATTTTTAACAATTAGCAAGCAGATATTATCTTAGGAATGGTTTGTTCTTGGAAAAAGTAATGCTTGTACCTTTTGAAAATAATCTAGACAAGTTTTGAGGCTCAATGCATTCAAACTGCCTTTTTTAAAAAACAGATTTCTAGGAAGCTACAGCAATTGAGTCTTACCTTATGATAGCACCTAAAATATGCAGCACGTTCATCAGAAAATTTCTCCAATCTTTTTGGGCCTTTGCTTGAAGCTTTCTTGAATACTAACCAACATCGCTGATAAATCTGGAAGGAAATACAAAGACTGAGCTCAGCATCTCCACTGACTTACATTTGCATTTAAATGTTTTCCTTTGGATGTTTTCACCTGTAAAATATTCACAAGATAGAAATGTGATGCTTTTGGGAAAATAAAATTTTAAAAATCAAAGCTGTTTCCACAATGGGCATATTATGTCACTCAGAAAATTACTGGAATCAAAAGAAAATTGGTATTTGAAAGTAAATATCTTCACGCTTTGATGACAATATCACTAGGCACATTTCAGAAAAAATCCCAGAGATAAAAATCCCAAATCAGTGCAAATATTACAGACATTCATGGCACATGCTATAATTTCAACTGCAATTAAATCTGAAAGATCATGGACTTGATATTTGCTGAAGATCCCATTGCTCAACCAAGGCTGAGACAGCTCATGTGTGTCATGTGACATTCCTCATGACTAACTCATGGTCAAGAGTTGGGCCAACACTAGGCTGGTTAATAATTGGCTGAGCAACACAAACTGGATCCTTGCTTGGGAAATTCAACTAAAAGACTCAAAGATTAGTGCCAGAGGTGCCAACTGTGTTAAACAGTCAATGCTGGTAGATTATAAACTGAGGTTGGTGACCATGATGAATTAGGTGCAGGACAGTTAAGCAGTGAAACCTACTAAAGAGAACAAGATAATTTCTACTCTAGGTAATAGATATTTTAGTTTTGTGTCATCTTTCAATTCCTAATTTTGAGATCTAGTCCTTCCTCTGTGTTTTTTGGAAATCATCAATATACTTGGGAACCAATCACCATCAATATCACTATAACTTGTAACTGAGGTAGCTTGAATGGGGGTCTGATTCTAGCAACCAAAACAACTCTGATGGGAATAACCAAGATAAACTAAATTAGTGCATTAAAATATTAATAATGCTAAAGAGAGATAATGAGTATATGAAAAACAGTGTCCTAGCCTGGCTCGGTGGCTCAGCCTGTAATCCCACGCCTTTGGGAGGCTGAGGTGAGTGGATTGCCTGAGCCCGTGGATTCGAGACCCACCTGG